GGCGAAGCCAGGGCCGTTCTCGCAGGGACAGGAGGGCTGGGATCCGGCTGGGGGTGTTGGGCAGGGCCGCTGCAGGCAGCCTCGCCACCCTCCCTAGAGGGCAGCTTCCCCGCACTGCCCCACTGTGGGGTGCTGTGAACCCACTCACTCTGCTGGGGAGGGGGGGCTGGGGGTGCTCAGCCCCCCCAGGGCCCCGGTTCCCCATCCCCTGCTGTGCTTTATTCTGCCCGAGAGCTGCGATGCTCCAGGTCCCCCCCCAGGTGCTGCGAGAGGGGCGATGCTCCCCTCCAGCTGGGGGCTGCTCTGCCCTGCGGCACTGCTCCCACACTATTCCCTGGCGTGGGGCCGGGAGTCACCAGTGCTGCCGGGAGCCCTGACGTCGGGGATGTGCCTCGGCAGGGCCTGGCGGGCGGCCACCCGCGCGCATGGACATTCCTCGCATAGCTCCGGCGGGTGCCCGGGCAGGCCGCGCAGCGCTTCCTGGCAGCCCGTGAGCCACAGCCCTGGAGAGCAGCACCAAAATAGTCGCTGGGACCATGCCGTGCCTGCGGCCCGATTGGGCACATTCGCCATCCCTCTGCTCCGGGGCGATTCCTAAGGGAAGCCTTTTCCCGGTGGCTGGGGTTCCCCAAGCAGGAGCACGGTGCACGATGCCTGGCATGATGCCCACGGTGCAGGGCTGGGGGTGCTGTGGGGGCTGTGAAGCACAAGGTGCCTGGGCACAGCCTGCTCCTCGCTGTCGGGGGCTCTGCAGGGTTGCGGGGGCCGGCCCCCTCCCAGGAGTTTCCCCCACGACCCCTGGACGCAGCTCTCCAGCCAGGCATTGCGCTCCCCTCCAGCCAGCCGGAGCTGCGGGTTTATTCCCATGTCTGGTTCGTACCCTCGTGGCCTGTGCCTCCGCGGGAGGCAAAAGTAGGGGGCCAGGTGCTCCTGTGGGCTGGGAGACCCCCGGGGGAAATCCTCTCCCTCCTCCTCCTCTCGTACCCTTCCCCAGGCATCTGCTCTGGGCCAGGCTGGGGTCTGGCCGGTGGGGGTTTGCACAGGACAGCCCCAATGGCTCGGGGACGGAGCTTTTAACTCTGTGCCGTGGGAGTGAGCAGGACCTCGGCCTCCCTGCTTAACCCTCTCTGCCTTCCTGCTTAACCCCCCCTCCCGAGCCTGCTGCACCCGCAGCAGAAGCACCACAAATCCTTTTCTAACCCCGCGCCTCTCGATGCTCTGTTCCCGCAGCTCTTCACCCCGTCACACGCTGCCTCCCCTTCTCTCAAAACTGGGCTGGGGGCAGGCTGGGAGGCAGGACGGACTCGCTGCGGAGCGCGGCACATCACGTCGTGAGTGCTGCAGAGCGGGGCTGCGCTTGGGGCTGTGCCACAGGCCAGCCTTGGCCACCAACTCGGCTCCTCTTTGCCCAGGGCGATGGGCCATGTCCCGCAGTCCAGGGACAGTTTGCGGCTGCACCACGTGCCTGGAGCCGGGAGCGGGTCCTGTCCCCGCAGTGCCTCGCAGCTTGGCCCGGCCGGCAGAGTGATGTCGCGGGGCTCAGACATACCTGAGCGCTGGGGCAGCGCTTACGCACACCAGGCTGTGAGTCACTGCGGCGGGATCACCCCGGCACAGAGAGCAGCTCCAGGAAGCCGGCGCTTACGTGGTGTAAACACCATCCCGGCATCACAGCGAGGGCAGCGGCCAGGGAGGGACGTGCGTCACACCGGGGGGGCCTGAGCGGCCTCGGGGGTGCAGGGGAGGAAACAAACCAGATCCGGGGTTTTTCATTAAAAAATAGTGCTCTTTATTATAAATTATGGAAACGTTTCCTTTCTGAATATAAATATAAATATGTGCAAAGTTTCATCTGAGTTTTGTTTTGGTTGAATTTTCAAGCATGGTTTTGCTCAGCCCTCAAGGCTGGAGGTGAAGATGGAATCTTTATAAAAGACAGTGATTCACGTTGGCCTGTAAACATCCCTTTGGTTAAAAAATAAAATTAAATTAAAAAAAGCCAGAAAAACCCAACTGCTTCTCCGGGCGGATGCAGAAAAGCATTCGCGAGACGACATGCTCCAGGGGATCCTCCTGCCACGTTCCCGTGGGAATCGGTGCCCCCGTGGAGCAGCATGGCCAGGGTCTGCGGGGAGCAGCCGGGCAGAGGTGGGATGTGACACTCGGGAGTAACGGTCCAGTGGCAGCACCAGGTCCCCAGGGTGCTCCTTGCAGACGCGGTCATGCGGGACCCTCAGCGGTGTCAGGACATGCTGTTTCCCCTCTGGCTTCGCAGCACATCACCGGGACCATTATCGCGCAGTGTCACCAAACGGTGTGCAGTAACCCAGACCACGGGGCAGGGAGAATATTAAGGCTTAGTCCCCTGGAAAATGGCAACGAGGGGAAAAAGGCGGCAACCTCCAAGTCTGGGGCCTGGTGTGAAAGGAGCTTCCACCCACAAGGAGGCAGCAAGAGGTAAAGTACAGTACGGGCAAAAAACACTTTCCCCTTAAAACCGAGGAAAAGTGATCAGGCACGAGCTGGACTCCAGTGCTTTCCGTTCTCTGGTGGCAGAAGGGGGCTTTCGCCAGGACACCCCCAGGTGTGGTCCCGCCACAGCAGCGGGGATGCGGCTGCTGGGGCACACGTCCCCCCGTGCTGCGGGTGCCGTCCTGGCTGCCTGAGCCCCCGGAGGCTTTGCCGATGGGCTCTCCCCAGCCACAACGGGGAGGCCTCCACACTGGGTGCACTGTAACATCCACAGTCCGACCGGAGCAGTCTCCTTCCCCGCGGAGAGGAGGTGTCACGCTTCCTCGGGGGGTCCCCCCAGCACCAAGGGCGCCAGGCTGTGCTGGCCACAGCCCTGGGCCCACCGTGGCTCGCCCCAGTCCCCCTCCTCTCCTTCCCAGAGGGAGAGGCTTGGCGTGCCCTGCGAGTCCCCGCACCGGTGGGGCGTTGTGCCTGTCCCCTGCTCTTGTGCTTGTAGCGTGTAACCTTGCTCCGCCGGCCCCTTAGAGGGGGGCATCGTACTGGTCCAGGAACTCCTTGATGGGAGCCGGCAGCTGAGTCATCTTCTCGTAGGAGTCCAGGTGCCCGTTGACGGTTTTGCGGCAGAGGTGCTGCAGGGTGGAGACGCTGGAGGAGAGCGGGCGGCTCAGCACCAGGGGAATCTTCTCGCCGCCCGAATAGATGTAGTAGGTGCGCTTGGGGTGCAGGGCCCCCCCCGGCTGCTCGGGGACGGCGCAGGGCGCGGGCGGCATGTAGTGATGTACCAGCTTGAGCACGCAGTCGAAGCGGGGCACGGGCTGGCTGCTGCGAAGCTCGCTCTGCAGGGAGAAGCTGCCGCCCTCGCACTGGATGCGCAGGTTCTTGGTGCCCGACTCCGTCTTGACGCTGAGGGTGAAGAAGTGCCGCTGGTCCGAGCTGTCCCTGATGAGGAAGGTGCCGGCCGGCTCGGCGCTCAGCAGCAGGTTAGCCTCGCCGCCTGTCACTGTGCTCCAGTAGAAGCCGCTCTCCTGCAGCTTGCGCACAGTGTTCACCACCAGCTGGTACTCGCTCTTGGAGCTGAACGTCTTGAGGCGCAGGCTGGTGTCGAGGGGGCGGCTCATCCCGGCGGCGGGGAACTTGCTGTGGGTGACCATGGCGCAGGGAGCCAGCTTTGCGCGCTCGGGGTGCTGCTGCCTGGAGCAGCGGCTGCTACACCATCACCTGCAGCAGAGACGGCAGTGAGCCACGGCAGCCCCGGTCTCCGGCTCTCCCTTCCCGGCGGCACCGGCATCCCCTCACCCCGGCTATGCCCTCGCCGGGGGGCACCAGCATCCCCTGACCCCGGCTATCTCACTCCCCGGGGCGCACCGGCATCCCCCAACACCGGCTATTGCCCTGCCGGGGCACCGGCATCCCCGGCTATCCCACTCCCTGGGGAGCACCGGCATCCCCAGTCCCCGGCTATCCTCTCGCCGCGGGGCACCGGCTCCGCTGGCCCCCGGCTACCTCCCTCCCGTGGGGCACCGGCATCTCCGGTCCAGGGCTATCCCCTCCCGGGGGGCACCGGCATCCCCGGTGCCCGGCTATCCCTCCCCGCGGGATGCACCGGTCCCCGCCTCCCC